TCTGAGTTCTCTACAACATCACAGACGACACAGGCTTATGTTTTTGTAACTTTATAAATTAAAAAAATTATTGCAGTTGGGACAAATTATTTAAAAATATATATTGTGAGTTTTTTTTTTTTTTACTTGTTTTGGCATCAAGCATTCATCAGGAAGTCAAACAAACAGATGGTACTCAACCAACAGGAAGCCTCCACTCGAGCATTGTATTGTGGCCTGCAGAGGATGTGTAGACACAAAACATCCAGCAGATGGCGTTATCCCACCCAATGGAGATATAGAAATTCATCTTTTAGTGTTCCGGTGCCACACCCACCCAAGTATCATGGGGCGTGGCACGATTCAAGGCTTATATCAACCGATAATTTGTCCAAATAATCCTCAAGTGTGATGTTAATGTGGTTATTTTACTGTTTGCGATCATGACGGAGCCTCACCAATCTGGAATCGTAAATAGTTTATTTTTTATTTTATTGGCCAAGACAGGCAGCAGCAAAATAACACAAAGTTACAGACAGAGACACAAAGAGAGACAAAGTACAATTTACAAAATACGACAAAATGAGACTGCAGACAAATGATGACTGAAAAAGATTCCTTTAGGGCTGCTTACCCACTTGTCAGTGTGGTTTGGCCTTTTAATGTTTTCTCTCAACAAGGGGAGGTGATTGGAGCTTCTCATTGTGGTGTGGATTAAATGCTGCATCATGTTGGTTGTGCTATTTGTGTAGGTCTCTGTCTTCTTTCAATATTTGCACACAGTTTTTGTCTCGTCTGTTATCTTTAATTTTCTGTCTTGGGGAAGCCAAAATGCTTCCACACCTCCGATTTAAAAGATGGTGGTGCATCCTCAATTTCTAAATCTAGCTCTGCAGCAGCCAACCGCCTCTGCTCTACAGCTGCCGACGCTCACCATGTTATTGCGATTCATTTTTCAGAGTTGCGTTGTGAATCTTGACACCTTTGAATCGATTTTCCGATGAATCTTTTTCATCCCTACCAACCAGATGTTGCATACTTTTCAACTCACCTTCAGTTTCATATAAGCTGTGCCTATACCATCTTCTCGGCCAGGATTTCCCCCATTTTCTTTTCCTCCATTTTTGTTTTTCGCTGCAAAACAGAACGCACACCAGGATTTTCAGCCTACAACATCCATTGTCCATCATATTTGTTTTTCTTTCTCGATAGATCGCGCAACTTTCTGTGAGATCTCGTGTCTGTGGAGTCGTTACTTCAAAAAGCAGGTGTGTTGTCTCTTGGCACACCAATTCATCTAATGTGGGTGATCTGAGAATTCTAATGTTAAAAATCAGTTGAAACTGTCCTCATGTCTGTGGTCGACCATGTTTTTAAAACCATACTTTAGACTTCAAAATTGTCCATAGTGTCAGCCGTTAGTCCAGGGGGTTGGTGGCCTGAAGTGTATAAATCCAAACGCTTCCTGTTGGTTGTTTCTTTTGTTTGTCAGCATTTCTTAAGGAAAATCGGATAAGGTCAAACTCAGATGTTTGTAATGTACGCAAGCAGTGTTAAATAAAGATGTATTTTCCCCTAGTATTGTTAGAGGTCATTTAACTGTATTATTATTGAATTATATTAACGTTGAATTTCCTGGAGGAAACTCAGATGAACATGTTTTGTTACAGAACATTTCTCTTTGAAAGCATCCTTCCTATCATCATACGTGAGTGGATGTTTTGGATTTGAATAAAACATTTAAAGAGTTTGAATACCAAAACAATCTGGTCCTGTTGGCAGTCATGTGGAGTAATCAGAGGTGGGTAGAGTAGCCAAAAAATGTACTAGTAAAAGTAAAAAAAAGTAAAAGTACTGTTACTTTAAGATAATAATTACTCAAGTAGAAGTAAAAGTACTCATGAAAATAATTACTCGAGTAAGAGTAAAAAAAAGTATGCAGTGAAAAGACTACTCAAGTACTCAAGAGTACAAGTACTGAGTTTCTCCGGATTTATTTTTGAAATATTCAGAGCAACACAAATGGTACAAAATAGACTCAACATAATAGAAAACAGCAATGTTCAAATTAAGATATGTTAAATAATAATATTTTAAATAAAACAATAAATAAGGTCTTTAAAATAAAATAAATAACCCTTGAACTAAAATAATAATAAATTAATTATTTGGAAAATTAAATACATCACCCTTTAACTAAAAGTATAATAAATTAGGATTATCCAAAATCATATTAATTAAAACCAATACATTTATTACATTGTTGCAATTATTTTGCACATAAACATTTTTAAACCAATTCCTAGGTTACAATATGTGACAGGCCCTGACAAAATTATCTGGGTTGTGTTCAGCCCAAAAAATATAAAACACCAAAAATCAAACTTTAATACACATCAAAACCTGCTGGCAAACTCACTTGCCAAAAAAGAAACACAACTTTAACTAGATTATCAGTGAAAACTACAGAGAAGCTGAAAAAAAGAGTCCACTCAGACTCTCATACACCCGGACTCACATGCAAAGTAAACACAGGGAGAAGAGGAAATGTGTCAAAGAAAAACAGTGTCTCTGTGATTGTGAGTGTGTGTGAGTTTGTGTCAATGTGATTGTGAGTGTGCGATTGTTAGTGAGTTTGTGTGATTGAGAGTTCTTGTAGGCTGAAATATCCACTTGTTTAGGCGTGCAAAGAAGGCAGCGCATGGTGTAGCTGTTTTCTTTGTCAGTTTTAAAGTCAAACATTCTTTGTATGTGAGGCCAGGGGTGTGGTTGTTGCTCCTCAGAATCAGCGGTTTCTTCCATTTTGTCGACTCACCCAGATAGTCTATAAAATCTGCATGTACGGACGGCCACGGACACAACATCGGCGCGGAGGTTTTTTTTGTTGTCAATGACAACATGACTACACTTGTCATGTGACTCAACTGGCTGCATTTCATTGGCAAGATTTTGTCAGCCATAGCCAATGTTATGTTTTTATTGGTTAAAATAGTCACGTTATAGAAATGTTGGCTGAAGACGTCCCTCAGGGAGGGAGAAATAGATCGCGCATGTAATGGAAAAAAAAGATATAAAAAAATAAAGTAACGACCGTCACTTAGCCAAATGGAACGATGTAAAAGTACCGCTCTTTCTTCAAATATATACTCAAGTAATACTAAAAGTATGTTGCAGTAAAACTACTCCTAAAATTACAATTTATCCAAAAAGTTACTCAGGTATTTGTAACGGAGTAAATGTAGCGCGTTACTACCCACCTCTGGGAGTAATCTATGCTGATGCTAATAACGCGTGGGCACAACTCTCCCACAATTCATTTCACCAAACATACTCAGCTATCGTGGCTTCATTTGGACGGAGCCCGATGGCTGTTTCTTCTTTTTTAAATAAGTTGGTACTTCATGTGATTGATTTATCATCATCTTCATTTACTGTGTCATACATTCATTAATGAATTCAATTAAACGGCTAATGCTTTAGCTACACAAGGGTTAAATAAGGGTATATATAATTTTATATACTGGTACCTTTATTGTTAGTTAGGCTAGGGCCGGTCCGTGGCATAGGCTGTATAGGCAAATGCTAGGGGCGCCGGCCATCCATCCAGGTCGTGAAATGAGTAAGGAAGAAAAGTTGTAGATAAGATGGTGGGAAAATGTGTTAAACTATCACTAAATGTCATTTTATCGATTGCAATTTCCATGCAATTATTCAGTAATATAACAATAGAAACCAAGACAACACAAGTACATCACCTATTCAAAAAGGCCCTTCTTTCTTGCTTTCTGCTTGACCCAACGTGGGGGAGGAGGGCGGACAAGTTATCAGAAGTGATTGACACTGACCGTACCGATAAATATGAGGTTTAAAAAACTGAAAATCTGTAAAACATAAAGCTGTGTGTCAGAACAGGAAAAGTGGTATAGATAATGGATGGATGTTTTGAAGAGTTGACTAAAGAAAGTCATTGCGCAGCCTCCTCATGGATCATTGGACACAGAACTCGTTCAAAGATTTACATGTGGAGAGCGCTTTGAATACAGAGACAATCTGTTCTTTAAAAACATTGAAGTCATGGGGAGGAGAGATGTAGATGGAGAGATAATATGTGAGCTCTGCAAAGCCTCCTCAGTTCAGTTTGAAGGGACTTGGGTGGGGCATCGGAGGGTCACCGGTTCAGGTCCTGGAGAGGTTCCAGTTCACTTGGTCCAGTTCACATGTTGTCCTGTTATGTTATTTGTCGCAGTGGAACAAATCTGAGTCTGTGAATATTCAGATTTCGAAGGGGCAACTAGAGTTAGTCGTCTCTCAACAAAGGTCGGGGGTTTGATCCCCAGATCCTGCAGCCACGTGTCCGATGTATCCTTTGAGTAGTCAGAATACTAGAAAAGAACTATACAAGCTCAAGTCCATTTACCATTTGGTAGAAAAAAGGCTGTCTAGCTATGACAAATGCTCAATGGACTTGAGCTTATATAGCGCTTTTCTACTCAGAGCTCTTTTTACACCGCAGGTCACACCTACACATTCACACATTGATGGTAGAGGCTGCTGTGTACAGTGACCATCAGAACTAATCCCATTCGTACACATTCATACTCCGCCAGTGAAGCAGAGGGAGCAACTTGGGGTTAAGTGTTTTGACCCAAGGAAACATCGGACATGAAGCTGCAGGAGTTGGGGATTAAACCCTCACCCACCGCTTGAGATGACCAACTCTACCAACTGAGTCACAGCCGCCCCCATCTATCGATCTAATTTGAACTTCAAGTTGAATTGAAATGCATTAAAGAAAAAAGTATATTTGCTCTTGGGATCACTGGCCTTTCCTCTGATGTTCAACAACTTGCAGGACAAACAGCAGAGCTTCATATCAAACTGTTGTAAATAGTTCCACCTAGTGGTAGAAAATAATCACTGCATCACTCATCCATGTGTCATGATCAATATTTACAGTCTATGGTCATGATCTGATTGATTCATAGTTTACAGATAATAATAAAAACACAAACCACAATGAGTATGCTTAATTTGTATTTATTCATACTATATATATATTCTATGTCCATCAGATATTTATATATATTTATAGAGTTATTTACATGTGGCAGTGTTGCCAGTCAAAGAAACATGTTTTTCAACAAATTTGATAACAAAAAAAAACAAGTTTCAAATTCAGTGCTATGCCGACATCAAAGTTTCATAAAAATAAAAAATAACAAAATCAAAGTCATAGAAAGTGAAAAGTGGGCAAACACTGCGGCGTGACTAAGATAACATGTAGCCTTTACATGATGTGGCGTTGCACGTTTGAGCAGATTTTGCGTTACTTGGTTTTTTCCCCGCTCCAGAACACGTGCAAATGTAGTGTTGCTGAAAAATGGCGTCATCGACTCCCCCAGAAATCACCAGACAGTGTGCAGGCAGTTTGCATGTTCAAAAAAAAACGAACAACAAATGTATTAAATAAAAAGAAAAGATACAACACTTTGTACACGCCTAAAAAAAACACAATGAACTGATGCTTTCTGAGGCAAGGGGAGAAGATCCAAGTAAAACATATTCGCATTGAGTACAGCCATGCATTAGCAGCGACCGTCACACATTCAGAGAGACGTTTTCTGATAGCCACTTCTCGGTCAGAACATTGGACCAAACGGACATGTGGTGTGTACGTTCTGTATCGTCTCTCGCATTCACCCGCTCAGCAGAGAACACACTTTGGAATTAAATGGATCCTCCACTTTAAGTTTTCCTGAAGCCAGTTAAGTACTCTTGTTTCACTCGCGAACAGAAACGCGCCTTGAACATAGACTTCAGAGACTCTCAGACACGCGCACTAGCATGTGTGCAACAAGCTTAAGCTATCTCTTCTATAAATACAGTACGTTTTATATTCTTCACCTCTCAGACCCCACGTGGTCAACTTAACAAAAATAGATAAAAAATAACTTTTAATACATTCTAAAAAAAAAATGAGACACAAGTAAGGGGTTGGTCGAATAACGAGGGGGTAAGTAAGAGGCAGGTCCTGGTGGAGGTTTGTGGATCAGGGTGGAGGGCAGCGATGGTTCCTCCCCTCAGGAAGCTTTCATGGGTGAACCTTGAAGGAGAGCAGTTCCTCTGAGTGCATGTTGTTGAGTGAACGCAGCTCTGGCAGCTTGAGCAGCAGCTTGGTGAAAGTGGTGGCCGACTCCTCGCCGTGGTTCTGCATCACAAGGTTTCGCAGGCCGCGGATCAGTTTGTCCTGCAGGGCCTCCACTGAGTTCAAGTCCTGGATACCTGAGCGGTCTGAGCCAAGACAAGGGAAGAGAAAGGGTTAATTTTTGAAGACAGAACAAGGCTTTCAAATTCCTGAGAGACACTTTCCTATCAGCTCTAACATTAATGTTTTTTAAGTACTTGGGTCAGATACCATGTGCTCAACTGTTTCATTTTTAGCCTAAAATCAGCAAATATTCCCACTGAAGTCCTCTTACCGGCTGAGACGAGCACCACGGCCGTGAAGAGGCTCATTTCGTCCGAGTCGAGACGCAGCCCGGCCAGTTTCTCGCTGAACTCGCACATGGAGTTGAGCAGCTCGCCAGCACCCAGCGACCGTAGCGTATTGAGGTTGTAACGTTTGCCACTAAGGAAGGTCACCGTCCGCTCGACCATGTTGAACAGAGAGGCGAATCGGACCATCAGCACCTGGAAAATAAAAACAAGAAAATGGTTTGTTAGCTTATGAGTTTTAATTCTTGGATAAATCTGTGTTGAAGCAAAATGTGGAGAATATTCTAAATCCAACCAGCTACATTGTGTGTACTTCAGCTTTTCCCAGAAGAAACTAATATTGAACAGTCTCAATCACACCCATTTATAATTTATTAAGTCTTTTTAAATTTCCATTTCCAACTGTTATCAGAGCAAATATTAGTCAGCAAACACAGAGAGGATCGTCTGCTTTGTTTAAGAAAGCCTCAGTGTTTGAATAGGCCACCATGTTTGACTTCGGAGCCAGCACAAAATAACAAGCTGTGTTTGTGTTTTCGCTTGTTTGCCCTCTAACCTCGAAAGTTCCAGCTTTCAGCAGGCTGACTTGGTCGTGCTCTGAGAGGTCACGGAAGCCCGGGATCCTCTTGGCGAAGTCGACGACCTCCCGCACAGCGGGGGTGAAGCTCATGGAGAACTCCTCCCAGATCTCCTGGCTCGGCTTGGTGGGGTCCACGTAGGGGGATGTGTTCATGGGACAGACCTGGAAAACATCAAGACAGGAGGTCAATAAGGGAGGGGGATCCAAACTGTCGCTCTGAATAGTTTTTAAAAATGATGTGAATTTTAAGAAGTAAATAAGATAAATAAACTCACCAAGTGTGCCCTGTTGTTGACACAGTGTGTTGGTCCATTGTAACCACTGGAGGCAGTTTGTGTGTTAAATTGGCTGTCTTCTGATGGCTCACAGCTAGGGGTGCTGTTGAGCTGCTGCTGAGGCTGCTGCTGGTAGACTTCACTCTCCTCCCTGTAAACAGAGTTGGTGACGTGTTGGCTATTGCTGTATGAGCAATGCTGGAAACCTCTCCCGGCCGCACTGTTGTTCCAGCTGTTCCAGCTCTCCTGCTGCTCCTCCATGCGGCTCTCGCATCCCGTCTCCAGGGCGACTGGCGACGGTGAGGCCTGGTCCTGCCTCAGTGACCTCTCCTGCTTATACGCAAAGGCATTTTGGTGCCGCCTGTTCACAGTGACAACCGATTCATCCTCGCCGCTGTCTGACCCGCAGGACGAGGCAGAGCTGGAGTTGGTGTCCATGGAAACGACAGATTCTGAGTCCTGGGGGCACTGAGGGGAGGAGGGGCTTGAGCTTGAGGGGGAATCGGAAGCAGAGCAGGAGGAAGAGGAGCTAGAGGAGCTGGAGTCGCTGGTCATGGCCTCCATGGGCAGCGAGGGGCTCTGGTGACCATGCAGCATGCTGTGCAGCTGGCTGTTGTTACTCATCATGTTGTTCATAGCATTCTGCATCTCAAGCAGCATCCTCTGCTTCTCCCGTTTTGGGATACGTCCAAATCTGACAGCTGAAGTTAAATAAAAATCACGATTAGTAAAATGCATTATATTTAGCCGTATATATAAATAAAGTAGGCAGAAAGGTGGCCGAGACTAAACTAACTGTCCTGCTCACCGTCTCTGGACATGCCGACAGCCAAACACTTCTTGAAGCGACACTGCTGGCAGCGGTTCCTGTTGATCCTCATGATGGTGCAGTTCTCCATCTTAAGACACTTTTTGTACTGGATGTTCTGCTGGATGCTTCTCCTGAAGAAGCCCTAAAGAACGACAAGAGAAGCATTAGTTCTGAAACACTAGCAAGAGGAGATCAATCCGACTTGAAGCGAGAGGATGTTTCTCTGCAGGAACTTGTCTCACCTTGCAGCCCTCACAAGCATGGACGCCATAGTGGAAGCCCGAGGCCACGTCCCCGCACACCTTGCACAACAACACCATGCCGTTGATTTCTGCAAAAGAAAAATCAGAGATAAGACGTGACTCATGAGCACAAGAACAGACATTTTAATTATCAATTGGATAAAATGTTAACGACCACATGACTCTTGATGTTGTGCTTACTTGTGATGCTGCTCTTGGCGGACGTGGAGGAGCGACCTGCCTTCTCCACGCCGTGTCCACGCTGGCCGTTCTTGAACGGCGGACAGATATCCACCACCATGCCCACGGCCCTGCTAGGCAACGAGGGGCGGGGCGGCGTGGGCGATGTCGACAGGTAGCTGCTGCTGCTGCTGGAGCTGGTGCTCATACAGGACTCTGGGCTGGAGGCGGAGCCAGAGGAAATATAGGCGATGACGCCTCCTGTTGAGAGAGAAAGATGGTGGCATGTTAAAACATGCATCAAGCAAAAAGTCTGTTTATGATTGACAGAAAGACACAGAAAACCAACTTGATCTATCACAACAACCTTGGCAAAGTGCAGCGTAGGCAGAGATAACAGAGTGTGTAAAGAGTGGAACAGCGAGGTTAAAAAAAGCTCGGTTCGCTAAATAAACACTCCTTTCCGTACAGTAGGAACAGGTGCCTCTGACACGCCTGTGTGTGTGTGTGTGTGTGTGTGTGTTGACATTGACCTGCTTTATCACCCCCAGTGCCTGCTGGTTGGATAACATGTTACGTAACACGACTGGGACTCTATGGGGAGTGTGCTTCGCTGACTGACGACCAGACAGGGTCACTGAAGCACTTGAGCAACATCACAGTCGTAGGAACAAAAGAATGTGAAAGGGAAAACATCCAGCGGCCGCTTATGCAACAACATGTTTGGCAGGAGAACACTTCCGGAGACTTTTTCCTTCAAATTAAAACTTTAATTAAAAGTTTGGTCAACCTCAAGAGCCCTGCATCCTTGTTATGAAACTTAAGAAATATGTATGTTTTTTTTTAAATTTATTGTGCATTTGTTGTCTGAGTGACAAGTCGTGTTTAAAACCAAGAATTCTGGTTTATTTAACTTTTTGAAAGAATGTCAATATTTGGGATTAAATGCCCTTGAGCAAGGCACTTTAACGCAACCGCAAAGTGCTCTCCAGTGTGGGCGTGACCCCGTGTCTAAATATGTGGACTAAAGTAGGGCAGTGCGCTTTTAAAAACCCGAGCATGCTCAAAGACTTTCCATTTAAAATTAAAAGAACACGACGACGAAGTGCCGCTCTGTGCGCCTTTATTTACATATTTGTGACGACTTTTTTCTCAATAAAGTCTAGGAAAAAAATCCTACATGTAGAGGCTCCTGTGAGCCATTACCTAACCCAGACCATGACTGTACCATTTCACGGCCCACCCACACGTGGACCTGTCATGAATTTCTGTGAAAGCGAGGCGCGAGGAGGAGGAGGGGGGGGAAAAAAGAGAAAAACTAGGTCAGCGGCTGTTGTCTCACCGCGTCTCACGTGTACTTCAGCGGGCCAGCCTCGCGTCGGCAGCGGCAGAGTGTACAGTGAATTATGCAATGCGCCGCGTCACGGGCTCCCCATCGGCCAATCGGAGAAGAGTTCCAATTGAAGCGTGCGCCAGAAGAGGAACGCCCCCTCGACCAATCAGCGCCGTGTTCTAGAACTCGTGTACACACACACACAGGCACATGGCTAGCTACGCTGTCCATGTGAGAGGGGACCGGGGAAGATAAACACTGGTTGTTGTGTCAAATGTAACAGGCAGCTCTGGCACTCCTAACCCCGATTTAAAGCACGGAAACACGGGGGAGAACAGCGACTTTATCACGGTGCACGCAACTCCAAATCACAACTAGCGCCCTCCTGGACATGTTCAGACAAAATTAAGACACTAAAAACACGAATGTGATGCTGATTTCCAGCAACAAATAGAAAAGTATACTCAAATTCTAGGTCGCCATTCATTGCTGTGGTTTCCTCCTTAGTGACTTCATTAATACCAGGATCTTTTACTTAATACTAGTTGTGATACAATCATTCAATATAAGCTTATACATTATGTTTTCATACAATTTTAACACCTCAAATTCTGTAGTTTGTCTGCACTTCACATGTACCAATCATAGTTGGTATAATTATTAATTTTATTATAAGGTTGCTGTATGTGTTAGGTAAGCATTTGTGTTGGACAAATTAATCACTAAATGTCCAAAAGAGGTCAATGCAACAAAGTGTCTTCAACCTGCTTTTAAAAACAGCTGATAATGATTTTGGTATAATAAAAAAAGACAATGGCCATTTCAGACAAAACATCACTTGGTATAAGGTTGCTTTATGTGTTAGTTAAACATTTGTGTTACTCACTAGATGTTCAAAAGGGTCAATGCAACAAAGTGTCTGCAGATAGCATGCTTAGTATAATTTAAAAAAAAAACAGAGTTGTCATCTTACCAGGCTTGGCTGTCCCAGCGTCCTCAGGCATGTCTCCTTCTCTTTTTTTTTTTTTTCCGAGGAAAAGGAAAACAAAATGTCCAAACTGATGTTTAAACTAAACTCAACCGTGAGTCACGACTTCTTCCACTGTCACGGAAAACCACTAACAGTGAGCTAGTCCAAAGAGTGTACAGACGGTGCTGAAGCTCATATTAAAAAAGATTGCGATTCAAGGAAATAATGTACACAGCCTCCAAGAGAACAAGTAGGTATGCGTCTGTGTGAAAGGAAGTCCCCCTCGGTTGTGTGTGACTGCGGGTTGAGTCAGGAGGACTAAATGTTCTCAATAGTGGGCTGTCGGCCACGCCCCTCCGCAGCCTCCTTCAGCCCGGGCCACTTTAACCCAGTGACACACTTTTAGGACACCGGAGGGGGCGGAGCTAAACGCGTTTTGTCGACGTAACAGCGGAATGGTAACACAGCGGTCACGTTGCACAGCACAACTGTGGGCTGCAGCCTGAACAGGGAGGTATGGCAGTGCCGCGTGCGCTCATGTCCCGACAGCAGACATCAACAGCATGTTTTTTTATTTATTTATTTATTTTTCCCATAATCAGATAAGAAGCTGCAGCACAATGAAGTCAAATTAGAGTGTAGTTAGAGTGTATAAAGTTAAACATACTGTACATTATTATTATTATTATTATTATTATTATTATTATTATAATAAGAAGAAGAAGCAGGTACTTTATTCATCTCATGAGGGGAAATTACTTTTGCCCTCACATGGATGGACATGCACTAACTGAGAGATGTCAGCGTGAGGGGCTGCACATTTTGTTATTTTTATTCTGTATTTTAATCAGAATCAGGATCAAGAATACTTTATTAATCCCATGAGTGGAAATTACATTTACACCCACATAGGGTGAAATACACACTCATGCACAAACAGGATCCTTTGGAAATATTCCTTATGTATTTTTAGCCCTATGTGTTTCCTCATTTCTATGAAATCCCCCCACATCAAAAAATAGGCCCTATTTTCTCTCATCCTGTTGTTCCCTCAAGGATTTACCCCCAAATTAGAACCTATGTTCCCTCATTTCTATAAGAACCTATGTAAGGAATGGGAGCTGCAGAGTGAACCGATTTATGACTTAAGAATAAAGTTACAGATTGACAAATTTATGTTTACCATGTGCCGATGCGTTTGTTGCGTCCCCCATTGCCCAGTGTTCCCTCATCCCTTTTTTTCCTTCAGGCCTACATTCCCTAAGCATCAAGGCTGGCCAATTCTATAAAGCACATAATGTGCTGTTGCACCCCCGCCTCCCACCCCCCATCCCGTCTTATTTTATGTTTTGGATATGTGTCCTTGTTTTCCTTGCTGCATACTGAGGGAAAATAGACACTCTGACGCTCCTGTTTCCATCTGCAGTCTTTGGCCGGATAAAGGAATAGGCTCCCCAAAAAGAACCAAAAATAAAACAAGGAACAATGACTTGTCTAAATCAGTGAACTTCTAGTGAGGAAAGATACAACAGAAAACTCAAACTACTTGGTCGTTTTTCGATTCTTTATTTTATTTTTTTTAAATCCCCCCCCCCCCAAAAAAAAACAACAACCAGAAATTGTGTGAACAACTAATGTGTAGAATACAGGGGCGTGTCCGATCTTTTTTAAATCGGGGAGGGGGGGGGGGCACACCTGGGGCCCTGACTTATGCAGGGGTGGCATGATGTTTGTGGGCACACCCACCCTTTCTCTCCACACTAATGATATCTAAGTGACACACAAGTTTTAACATGGACATTTTTATGGAAAGAGCAAAGACGCCCATTTATGTAGAATTGAAAGAAACAACCATTAGCCTGTTGAAAACAGCCAGAATACGTGTACATGACGAGTCCATCAGATCGAAGGCTACAGCTGCGGGCTGCGTTAAGGACTCAGCAGAGAACAGAAGGAAGAAGGCAGGTCATGTAGTACGGCCTTCTAAAGAAACACTTTATATTTGCCCCGTCCTTCAGTTGCACAAGACAAGACAAACCTACGCTCTCACACAAGACACAATGACGTGTATGAAAACTCAAACCAGAGAGTTACCGCAATGCATCATGGTACACTGAGTCCAAGATTTTCTTTGATGCTAAAACCCGAGCTAAAGGTGTATTCAGTTGTGATCAGAAGAAATTCATATCTTACAAAATCTAGGATTCGTTGAACATTCACAGATTAATGCATGTAGCCCCAAAGTATTGGGTCACCAAAGCCCTCAAAGGGGGGGGGGGGGGGGTGCAAGGCATTGTCTGCTCTGAGATTTGAATGTATTAAGTCAAATCATGACAACACACAAACTGGATAGTTTAAATGTGGAGGTGAAACGACACTTCTTCACGTCTTTTTGTCGCGGTCACTGAGTCAGAGCCAGACTTGACCCACAGACATGACAGACTACACGGTGGTACCCAACAAATCATTACAACCGACATCACGAGGTTGGAATGAAGAGGGGCGGAGCTAGACGACACCCAGACAAGAAGACAGTCAGCAAACGTTTTTGCCAGAGCTCCACAAACTTTTCCTCTGTCTCATAGTTCCATCTCACAGCTCCAACGTCATCATTGTCCTTTTGCGTCACCATTATGTTTGTGACTTTTGCACGTGCAGAGCGCTCTGTGCTCTCATTGGTTAATGACCCTGACATGACAGCACACGTCATTTCTGTCAAGAGGTTGTGAGGCGTCCCATGTGTGGCCTTGATTGGCGTTCACTTTGAAACACTACACGAGATAAAACAATTGGTTCCCAAGACCTGTAAGGGTTAAGGTCATGTCAACATTTTATTTAAATGTCTGTAAAGATATTTAGACGTCACAGTGAGAAAAGCAACGTGTACTCTATCGAGAACAAACCTGAACACAGTGTCTATACTCAAATGGATATATTTTAATAATATATGTGATAAGAACACTTTGTTCTTTATATCAAAGGTCACATCAGGTACTCTGAGTGCTGCGCTCGACTCAGAGCCTTTACCCAGACATTTTTGTAGCCAGGAGAACCTCTTTTACCAGAGTGTCCCAGCAGAGAGGCGCGGCAGACATAAAAACACAGATCAACATGTCCTGAGTCACAGAGCAGAAAAGTCATTATTCAAAGCATCTACAACCTGAAGCATCATCCGCCAAGACCTTCAATTGACTTTTAAAAAGATTTAAAGAGACAGATCATCCTGCAGGACGTCCAGGCCGCAGGCAGCGTACCTGAAGCTCCTTTTCCCCGTTTCAAGACGCACTTTGGGGACAGACAACAAAAACTGAACGTAGCGTTTGCTCAGGCAGGCCGCAGAGTCACGCTCTACTATCATGCCAGAGTTTTTGGTAGCAGCTGATCTCATGGAAGCCCTCATCAGCTGATTTGCTTCAAAGCATCCTATTGGTCAAATAGTAGTCATGCCGCCTTATTTAAACTGCTCAACTACTCTTTGCTGCTCCGTCTGCAAGCCACATCTGCAACCCTCCTCCACCCCAGCGCCTCTTTTTATGCTGTTTGGACTTTATCTATGTCATGCTGTTGTCATTGATGCTCTGTTTGGGGGTTTTGCTGCTTCTCTCGCTGTCTTAGGCATTCCTTGTATGCACAGGAAGGGCAGGAATGTGTGCTGTTCCCAAGCGGCACCCTCCGGTCTTTAAAAATGAAGCCAATGCGGAAGTGCAAAATCCTGCAATTCGTCGAGTTTCTGCTTGAGGCTGGCTCCAGGAACACAGGAAGCCACATACATGACATGGCTGACATCACTCAGGCTTCGTCCATTAATATTTACAGTCTATGACTATTCCTGCCTAATGCTTTTCCACTTAAGCATGTTGGAGAGCATGGAGATCCCAGAACAGAGCCATACCACCAAATATAAACAATTGTAATGAAGTATTTTTTCTTGACAAAGTGGTCCTGACTGAATGAAGTTTTGTGACTGGGCCTTCTGGGCGAAGACTGCCCTTCCAGCACTTTTCACATGAATACAATTACACAAGTATGAGGGAAGCAGATTAAAGGCAGGGTTGGTCATTTTCTCCAGATCCACTTTTTAAGATTCTGGTTGAAGTTGTCTTGAGGACCTGACAGAAATTAATAACTCATGTTCTCTGAAAAAGGAACAAAGAAAATCTGTCAATCTGTATCAGTTGTAAGCCTGAAAAAACTTGTCTGCCATGAGGTACCAATCTGATGAACCAATCACACGCCTCCCTGTCTCCCTGCTCGCTCTCTACCTCGTGTGCTCTAGCTCACACTCAAAGCGTCACCGATGACGGAGTTTATACTGTGAGTTTACTTACCGCTGAATGAGACATGAGACGATGTAGTTTCTACACAATACAAGAGATGAGCTGAGGTCCACTTCTGGAGCAATGGTGCTCGTGCATGTAAGTGAGGGGGCGTGGCTTTTGAGGGAGCACAGAGGGGAGGGGGTGGGTGTAGACGGGGCACTGAGGGAATGCTACTTTCCTGCCTTTAAGTATAGCCTTATAAATAAGGACATGCCAATAGACAACTCATCATGATATACAGCATCCAAAGATTAACACTCAGGATTAAAACTTGGAAATATATGTTTAAAGGATCTGTAATAGTTATGTTCTGATTTATATATTACGCTCGATTTGACTTAGTGTGCACATGTGAAAACGGCTACTGGTGGATCGGGACCCAAAGGTGGGTCGTGCAGCCATTTTCAGTGAGTCACACATGTATGGATATGGATAAAAACGTGCAACGCAAATTAAATGAAATTGAACATTTCTTGTCGTCTTCACAGGAGAGTGAGAACTCTGGGATGTGTAGAGTTCAGGCCTCAGTGGAACAGTTCTCCTGCTCTCTCTCTCTCTCGGCAGGACAAGACAGGACGTCGCATCCTCCCGAGCTTTCAGCCGCCAAAACTATTTTAAGAGGTGAACAGTGAGGCTCAGTTTTAAAGTTCAACCCAAGCTTATTATGTGTGTTAATGATCTGTTTTCATGTCCCACCACAGCAGGATGTTTAAAGTTTTAGCAGATAAAATAATAATCACTCAAGTTTACAACGACCGCACCAAATTGTCAAACAAGATTTATTCAGAGCTATAATAAGTCTTTGACGTTTTCTAAAGTCTTCATGAAAAACTTCTCGTTAAAGTTTCGGTCAGGAGGAATTTTTTGAGTTACTTAAACTCGTGCGTGTTCAGGACGGGCTCACTGAAGAGATGAGACATTCTGCTTTTCCACAGGGGTTGCCAAGATCGTCGCAAAAGGAAAATAAATTCTTCCCAGCTGCGTTGTTATTCTCTCTGAAATGTCAGCAGATGCAGAAGGACACAGAAGTTTCTCTGAGCGGCTGCAGACAGAAACCAAACAAAAAAAAATCTTTGTCTAGGGCACTGGTGGCGCAGTGGTTAGTGTGCGCACCCCATGTGTGGAGGCTTTGGTCCTCCAGGCGGGCAGCCCGGGTTCAAAACTCACCTGTGGCTCCTGTCCAGCATGTCGTTCCCTACTCTCTCTCTCTCCCTGCTATCCGACTCTATCCACTGTCCTATCTCTCCATTAAAAAGGACAAAAATAAATCTGTCTTCTCTTTGTTAGAATGAAGGAGATCCTACCGGGGCTGCAGAACATGTGAAAAAAAACTGCCAGTGTTTTGTTCTTTGTTGTGTTTTTGTATGTTTTTACTGAAGCACTGTTTGCGGCTGATTATTGAATCCTTACATGAAGTGAAGTCGTGGCGAGGACTTGGCTGTTTTTTAAGTGATTGAAGTTGTGTCCCGTGGGCTGTATGAGGGTCACAAGCGTCCTAAACTTGCAGTTCATCTTCATATCATACCTTTTTGTCTGAGGTTGTCATGTGACTTGAACATGCAGCGTTTTGAAGGGATAGAAATTAAAACGCCCCTGCTGCAGTTCCAGAGTGTTCAAAGGTGGACGCCACATTCCTAAGCACTTTTTGCCCTCCAGTGACTGAAAACCATGAATATGCGTCAGGAGGTAGTTCCTAGTCCTCTCTCAGACGTTATTGGGTTACCGTTACGGGTCATTTGTCCAGTCGGGTTTTGTTCCATCCATCATCCATTCAACAACGGGAAAGTAAAGCAGAGGCGGGGCCAGACTTTCGTCCATTGTGTTCCTTTATTACCATATTTGCAGAGATAACTTAATCAGGAAGCAAAAAATATACCAGACAATAAAGTACTAAAAATCTGAGATACAAATAACCCCCTGACACAAACCACCCTGAGTCCCCCCCCACCCCCTTCCCCTCCCCCTCGCCCTCCTGTGATAGTCCTCCGTGGATTTATGTGGCGTATCTCTTCGTCCACTGTTTGGCTGTTCGGTCATGTTCCGCTCTGTTAGTCGTGTACTGGGTGGCGATGCTTCCCACCAGGGGATCGGCTGAGGGGGGGCAAAAAAAGTTTACAGGTCAGTTTATCTACACGTAGAATGATTTTTTTTTTTTTTTTTACACACACAAAATGAGTGAAGCAGCAACGTAAAGGTTAAGTTTTGTTTGCTCTGGAAGTTTATTGAACAAGTTCGACTCTTCCTGCTTCAAATCATTCTTCTAAAAATCCTTCCATTGATTGTAAATTTTAGTTAGGGTTGAGCGTGACACCCTCACCCTCGCTAGCATTAAAGGTCACATATTATGCAGCTTCACCATGTTCCTCTAACTCTAACATGTGTCTCTAGTCTGTCTTCAAACCCCCCAATGATGAGAAAAGTCCATCTCTGTCTTTAGCCTGCTCCACTTTTCAAAAAAATGTGTGCTCAAACAGGCCGTTTGGCGATTTCCCCTTCATGACATCACAAAGGGCAGTAACCCCTCCCCCAGGTGGGTGACACTCCCACAGCTAGGTGTTTGTTCTGCCCTCCGAGTCTGCCTTCTCACCGTAAACAATAGGACGTGGAGGGAGAAAGCCCGAGTACACCCAAGCCCTTCCAGAGAGGAGGCGTGGTCAGACACAGCTCATTTACATTTAAAGGTACAGAAACAGCCTGTTCTGCGCAAAACCGTGGTGCTGACGGAGCATGGCGTGCATAGACTATGAGGGAATTGATGATCAGCCTTTGGTGAAAGTTGTTGAGTATAGATCAGCAGCTGCTGCCCAAGAGCAGGATTTGAAAATCACAGTAATCTTCCCATGAAGTTAAATAAATCATGCTCAGTTTTAACTGTTTTCAGACTCGTCTGAATTTAAATATCCCTTTAATTACCTGTAAATGAGTCGTTAGGGACATCCCTCGTCTTAAAAGGGGACTTAGGCTGAATCAGAAAGTTGACTCAAACGTTTAGAGAGCTGCAGTTCGATGTTGAACCCAAAACAATGTCTGCTTTCACTCTTTGAAGCAGAGTACGTTGACACAGAAGAACATAATGTCCACATGACGCTGGATTTCCTGTCAGGGTTACCAGCAGTTCCATTTAAGTTTCAGGTTTCTGTTGTTTCATAAAAACCACAGAGGAGCCGTTTAGCGAGGTTTAAAAGTCGTACAAAGGTCAGCTCTGAAGACCTGTTTCCTGACTCGCCATATTGTCAGACTGTAAAAAGTAGGTGAAACTCCTTAACTTCCTCCGGCTTCTCTGCATTTATTTAAAAATATTTATGAATGTTTATTATTTAGGTACTTTTACTTTAAACAAGTATCATTACTCTGTTTATTTTTATTTGTTTATTTGACATGGACATTCAGTAACATCCTGTCCTAACAGGACACGGCGTGAGCGACTAAATCAGCCTGATTCTTTTGTTTCCTATCAGAGCGTCCAAACTGCCCCGAGCGATGCAGTGCGACGCTGCATGCTGTTTTTACCTCGACGCCCTGATTCTATTTTCCTCTACAATGTCCATGCAGCGGTGTCGCTCTTTTAGTACCATCAGTTTTCGCTTCGTGGCATTTGCACTTCTACCAGCTACAGTATGGTAGAGGAGCTCTCCGTCTACAGTGAAAGTTCTGAAGTACAGACAGTCACCTCCGCTGGTCAAACGTTGCTTTTAATTGAGGAATCTTTAAATCAGTCCAGCACTCAACAAGATTTATTTACTGAACAGTATACCACTGTTTTCATTAAATGCATGATTTTGACCAAATGATGTTAGAAAGTGGCGCCCCCGGACTGTGTGACACCACAGCTTCCATGACACAAAGACTGGAGGTCATTTTTAAAACATCTCAGGTGGCGGGCTGCACTCTCACTGAAGACAGCGTGTTTGTCAGCATTTTATACCGGGATATAGGACGCAGCCATTTTTTAGATGAATAAATAGATATTAAAAGTGTGTCCTGAACACCGGATTTGACGGTACATTTTGCTGACCACACAGCGGACATTTTTACATACAAGCTATTTAAGACTAGTCTTTTTATATCATGAGATCAGACGTTTATCCGGCATCGTGAGGTGAATGTGGCTCAGATTAAGTTTAATGAGATCTTCGGCCTCCATCTGCTGCTGCAAACGAGCGGTGCACTTAAATAATCAGGATCGAATGTTGTAGTCCCACCTCCGACTCAACTTATCATCCTGCTGTTGATACAACACCGCTGATCCACCTCAGGTCTTACCTGGGTTGCAGTCTGTGAGCAGGGAGCAGATGGACAGCAGCACCTTGGAGATGGTGAGGGCGGGGCTCCAGTTGTCCTTCAGGATGTCCAGACAGATCACCCCCTGACTGTTGATGTTGCAGTGATAGATCCTTGTTCGAAAGGTGACCTGCAGACACACAAACAAATAACTGTCAAGATGCAGAAGTACCTAACCATAAAATGTAGTAGTACCCAATCGTTTTTGGCCACTTTTTGAAAGTCTTATCTCTGAATAGAAAGGATTTTTACTCAGTCTTGTCTCGGTCTCAGACTGGGCGGACTCCAGATTTCAAATCAAGACTACCACTGACCGGCTGTTTGTCCACCTCATTAGTGCGATCAGAAGGAAAACGCCTCTTTCTAAAAAAACAAATAACTTCAATGTATTTGTTGTTTGATTTGTATCCCCGAGTCACAGCTGCAACCTTCCCGGTGTTACGGTCTAAGGGAGTGACACGCCACCGACACACAAGATGATGTTTTTTCAGTGATATTTATGGTTTTAGCCCTGCCTTGGTCTTGGTCTGGACTTGGTCTCGACCCCTCAATGTCTTGGTCTCGTCTTGGTCTTGCTCTTGCTCCCTGCCTTAGTTTTGGTCTCGTCTCTGTCTCAATCCCTAAATGTCTTGGTCTTGTTGCAGTCTCCGGTACGTCTTGGTCTTGACAACAAGAGGGTTGTCAAGAGGGTAGCTCCTGCATTTTTTATTTTTTAACCTTTCCTGTAATGCACTTTTGAGAACATGGGGATAAATTGTGCAGATTGTCTTTGATTTATTTATTCAACCAGGAAAAAAACCCATTGAGATTTTTCAAAAGTGTCCTGGCCAAGAGAAGCAGTAGCACAGGTAGCAGATTTTCAGACAATGATGCCTGTCATTGTAGAGATAGGACGGTGGATAGAGTCAATAATCAGGGAGAGAGACAGAGTGGGGAATGACATACAGAAAAGGAGCCTCATGTCAGATTTGAACCCGACTGCCCGCTTCGAGGACTACAGCCTCTGTACATGGGGAGCCTGCCCTAGCCACGTGGCCACAGGCACCCCGAGAGATACATAATTATTACATGTTTTAATTTCTGACTGTTAAAAAGGCTGTCATTCAAATAAGCTTTTCAGTGATCACACACAAACATCAGTTTTAAAAAAAAAAGGCTTTTCAAACTTGTGAAGTTTCCTCTTCACTCGAGCTCACTCTTAAAATAAGTCGACATCACACAGAAACTCTAAACTCCTCTGACACGATCTGGTCTTTAAACAGCAGTCAGTGCTTTACCAAACACTGCTTTGTGATCAGCATGGGATGGTCGACCTCTTGTGGTTGAAATGAGGTACTTCCACATGACAGGATTTAAACATTGCAACCTTCTATGCCAGTGGTTTCCGACCTTTCTATGGCTCGTGACCCCACTTTGACTTCCCCAACCTCTGGTGACCCCAGACAACAAAAACATCAAATTAATTTATTTTGTCATATTTTCTCTTCTGTGTTGCACGTAAACATAAATTTCAGAGCACATTTAGGCTTTTTGGTGTTTCTTATTGTGGACAGAGGAGGAGAGGCCGGGATGACGGACCGACAGAGACTCTATCGGTTTCTAGTTTTGGCATTGGCCATGGCCCACAGAAGCCTGTTAAGACATCACACGCTGTCAGTGAGGAGTGTCTTTGGTTGACCTTTGACCTTTGCCCTTCACAACAGCGTTTCCTGCTCATGTTTACACCATTGACCACATTTTCCATCCACGACAGACAAGAGAGTAAACACGCGTCTGCATGTGTTTGAGATGTGTGTGTTGGTTTGCGAACTCGATACCTCCTCACTGTACAACACATGTTCACCCTTAGAGAGTTTGTGTTTCCTGATACAGCTCGTTGAAAAGAATAAAATCCTGCACACTACTCTTGCTCGGCCTCACCAATATGTTTACGTTTCGGCCCCTCTGAACACACCTGACCAAAACTTCAGAGGGACAGAAACGTTGTGATTTTATCTTTTCAATGTGACAGTTTGATGTCTAAAACAGAAGATGTCTCTGTCTCCTGCCCGGGGACTACAGATGTAAACTAGCTCAGAGCTAACAGCTAATTGGCTGTCCCTGTCAAAATAAACAAATAAAATGAGCTTCACTGAAAACACTGTTTTTACCTCTGGGACTGGCGCTTTTACTGCCAACATCGTGAGTGTGTTTGATACATAAAGTAGCTTAATTAGAACAAATGATCCTGCAGGGACAAAGAAGTGAACCATCAATTGGTTTAAAAACTGTCAAACTCAGAAATGTGCTCTGAAAACGTTAACTCAACGTACTAAATGGACGGGGGATAGTAGCTCAGTCTCTAGGGATTGGGGTTGGGAACTGGAGGGTCGCCGGTTCAAATCCAGGTACTGACCAAGTCTGGAAATTGGTCTGATAGCTGGAGAAGAGCCAGGTCACTTCCCGAGTACTGCCGAGGCGCCAACCCTATCTGCTCGGGCGCTCTTTCATGTGCAGCCCCCTCACTCTGACATCTCTCCATTAGTGCATGTCCACAGGATCCTGTTTGTACGTGTGTAGATGAGTGTAAGTGTCTACTTCAAAGCATCTTCTTCACGCCTGTCACAACAGCAGACATCAGAAATGGAAGATATAAAGTTCCTCCTGAAGTTGGGAGGACTCATCATCTTCACTCTGTGCCGTTTTCCTCCGACGCCACACTCCGTTTGGAGGTTTAGGCGCTTTTGTGCTGTAGTTTTGTTTTGTTTTGCTCCAGGTTGTTGCTTTTGTAAATGTTTCCTGTCTGAGTAGTTTTTATGGTTTCTCCTCTTCCTTGTTGATCGGCTGCTGCGGGGTCAACGTGGAGCGGAGTTCTGACAAAGTGATCTCTTGTTATTTCTGAGCGAACAAATAATTAAGGCACTTCTCCTTTTTGTTTCCTGGTTCATACAGTTAGGATCCCGTTCAGGAATGTAAATCTGCGCGCAGACTGCAGAGGGAGAGTTTTCCAGAATATCTTGTATTATCGAGGTTAGGGTTGGGCAACATGTCAGTACGTACTGTGCCACCATGTGAACTATTTGAGGCAGGCTGTGTCGCAAAGCAGGGCTGGATTCTCACATGATATTGTGAACTGAGCTTTGCATAGCAGCGTCGTTGGTGCTGACATGGAGGAAGAGAAGGAAGTTTTAAACACAGAGTGGGGAGGGGGCATCCTGACTGAAACCTTAAAACCTGCAAGACTGCGAGATCTGGTGCTCGGAGGCAGTGATGATTTAGGCCACTGTCTTGGTCTTAGGACAAAAATGCCTATTCGTTAAAATCACATTTTAGTCATTGTTTAGTTTAGTACGGACTCGCAACATTTTGCATTTTTTTCCCAATGATCCCGCGGTTCACTGGATCAAATTAACTTTCTGTGAATGGCAGCTCATGTTTTTAAGTATCTCCTCATAAAACTGAAATCAGCTAATTAGCTTGCTTTCCTACTTTCTCACGGAGGAGAATCCCTTTAAACAGCCTCTCTTTACACTCTCCGCTGCTCTGCTGTTGTTAGGATATGATGATTTATCTCATGTAAAAGGATACCTTTTTTTTTTATTTCAATAAAAAATCCTGCTCCGTTAGTGAATCGCTTTATCCCCCAGTTTTCTGGGGTCATGTGCGAAGGTCATGTGCAGTGTGTGATGATGGCGGACGCACTTGCGGTCTTGATGCTGCATGTCTCAGTAGTTTATACTGGTATATTGGTTGCACTGGTCTATAGGAGGCAGCCCACTCAGGGCGGCTCTCTTCAACAAATACCAGTAAAAGAACGCGATGAGAAGTGGCATCAAATCAGGAAAGCTCTGGTCAGTACCCATAAAACAGACAGGAGAGCTGAGATCAGTACCTTGGGGGGTTTGAAGGGGTAGTCGGGCGTGAAGGCGATGTCCAGGAAGAAGACTCCTCCCTCGTACACGGAGCCCGGGGGTCCCAGGATGGTCGACCTCCACTCATAGATGTTGTCTCCTTTTGGGCCAGCACTGCAGGCGGAGACATTGAGCTCACATCAGCATATTCAATTCAAAGAACACAAAGTGAAGCATCGAGTGAGAGCACATGCATACAGGACTGATGTTTTCTGCTGACTTATCCACAACAGGGTCGTCGGGATAATACATTTTTAAACGTCTGAGTGTTTCAAGTAAAAATCTGAGGCAGCCCCTCTGACATCTGTGTGTGTTTGTCTTTGGGATTTATATAGTATATCTTTGAATGCCAGCACTGTTTATTTCCTCTACGTATGGTCTGATCCCTTTTCTTTTATCGTCTCTAGCTGTTGTCGTTCTTGTTTTATTGTTGCATCTTCATCTTTAGGCTGTCGTCTGCTTGTTTTTCTGCGTGTTTTGTCTCGAGTGTGTTCTGTTGTTTTCTCGTTTGTATTTATGTGTTCTACTCGAGGTGATACCCCTCAAGGAGCATATCCTGATACAATACAATACAATATTAATATTTTTCCTTTTGAATGTGAAGCTAAGGACGTTTATTTCCCCTCGTGCATCGTTCAGTTCAGAGCAAATCCCCCGCGATGTGTCCATGCGCCATGATCTGTAATCTGTATTGATTTCCCCTCAAAGCAGAGCAGCCTTTATCCCTCATACATGCAGAACATGTGGCCTTGAACCCCTTGGGGTCATGAATACGAGACATAATAGTATTGATCCGAAACCCTTTGGGGAGGGGGGGGGGGGGGGAGTGCAGATGTTGTGCTCTGCTGTGCTTTTGGATCGGCGTTAACACGGGGCGTTTGGCAGAGTTTCAGCTCCAGCTACGACAAAGAGCAGACAATCAATCCAGAAGGAGCAGTTTGGGATAATTAACCACCACTTCAGAAGATCTGATTTCACAGAGTTTGATTTTTAATGATTTGAACACATTCCTCCAAACACCAATAGACTCTTACGACAGCCCATTAAGGGATGAAGGAGTCTGACATCAGATCAGTTAATTATATTTTATACAGATTTAATTTGAACTAAAACACACACTGATGAAAACAGGCACACACAAAAAAAAAAACATTTAACTGTCAGAGCGATGTTCTGCAGCATTATTTAGGACAGTGGATAAGAGTCAGAAATCAGAGAGAGAGAGAGTTGGGAACGGCATGCGGGAAAAGGAGCCACGGGCCGGATTCGAACACGCACCGCACACTCTCAAGGACTTTAGGAAGCGGGGTAGTGCATTAGCATAAGATGCTGGGTGCTGCACTTTTTCTCTGGGTGACTGCCTGCTGATGCAAACGCTCTCTATTTGGACACAGGGCACGGAGATCATTGACTAGTATTTGCAGGAAAAAGTCATGAAGATCGTTTTTTCTGACGACCAATAACCACGTCACAAGTATGTGACGCTAAACGGGAGAGAGCGGGGGAACCATCTCGTCTGTTTCATTAATATAACCGTCATTACGTCTCCTTCCGTAACAAGTCAAGCTCGAGTGCATTAACATCTTTGTAATAATAAAAGACATTATCACATACTACAAGGAACTCCATTAAACATGGCGTTTAATCCATCATGTAGTGGGCAGGCGGTACTTTAAGCTGTCACACCTCACTGTTGTAATTAGGCGCTCCATTATGAATAAAAAGGTAAAAGCCTGTTTCTTAAACCTGCCGCCGCCGCTGCTGCTGCTGCTTTTGTTCTTTACTGTAAAACCTTCTCGCTGCTGTCATCCATCTCTAATGCACAGATTAAGCTGTTAATGTAACAGAGAACAACATTAACTCTCTGCAGTCATGACACAGACAGACGCACTCATCATCTCGTGATTGTTGTTCAAAGCTTCACTGAAAAGTCTCAAGGTCATTTTGGGAAATTTAGAGAGGCTAAGAGAGGCTAACGCATTCATTGGGAAACATTCAACCCTTTTCTGTTGAAGGCAGAATGTGCGACACGTTACAGATAAATAAATCTATTGTGTCTTGTTTTGGTTTTCACTCTGGTGCTCAAGGGTGATGTCTACTGGATCAAAACACATTCTTCCTCTAACATTTAGTAGCTGAAATAAACCCTTTTTGTGCAAAAAACGTGTTTCACAACGATAAAAAATGTGTTACTTATTTTAATGATCAATAGCATTGAAAAGTTACAACGCTTACAAAAAAAAAAAAACAACACCTAGAGATCCACAGTCATATTTAAAGCCAAAGCTGCCACGAGAAAAAGAGAGAGAGAAAGCAATCCTAAATTGAACAAATACATTAGCAACATTTCTATACCAACACTCAGCCAATTGCAGAAGTGTGCGGGAGTTTGCTTGCAGTTTCTGTCACTTAAAAACATGAAATGACCGAGCATTGGGGACCAAGGACTTCTATTTTTGTTGTTGTGGTATCAATATTGTTTGTTTTTTTACTCGTGAAGTACGTTACTTTAAACTTCTGTTATCACGACAACCTTATTGTGCGGCTGAGTAAAACATCGGTGCATGACATACGCCTGCAGTGAACAAACAGCTTGCTCTCTGTAAACAGATTGACAGACAGACTGCAGGCTGGAAGGTGGCAGGTAAAGACAAGCTGATGTTTTATACATGAGACGGAGTCTGGAGAAAAATGTCAGCAGCAACAAACAAAAAACTTGAAGCAGATTTTTTTTTTTTTTTTGCAGCTCAGAATAAATAGGTTTTCTTTCAGTAAGCAGCAAATATCCAGACGGTGTTGATTTTCGAGCCGGTCTGTGGCCTGAGGTAGCTCCTTTGATCTACCGAGTCAGTCTACTGTTTTTTTTTCTTTTCTCTTTTCACCGCGGGGTCAAAGATCAGGCTCAGCTGCCGCACAGCAGCCTGCAGCAGCGGGGGAGAGATTCAGTGATTCGCCTCAGGACACCGCAGGAGGGGAGGGAGGACACCCCACTATGACGGGAGCGGGGATCCAAACCGTCCAGTTTTTAAAGATAATCTATCAAATCCAAACGCTACAGCAAACAGAGCTGCAGAAGATCCGTCATACTCCAAGTCCTCATGGTGAATACAACACAAAGCAACAGGGCAGCAACACATGATCGTTTTCATGACCATTTTATCTGATTATTATTTTTATCTGTCAATAAAACGTATTCCGTTGTTATTTGTTAAAAGCTGCCAATCAACTCATTTGAGACTCTGAGGCTCCTTGTGTATAAAAGCTGTTTTAGTCAAGGACTAGAACAAGCAGAAGAACATACTCACTGATTATATGTGTTTTTAGATCACTGACATTCTTTGTAAATTTACATGCAATGTGAAACTATGAGCTAACTAAAGAGCGCTAACTTTAGTCCGCTGACACAACAATGCAGGACACAGGTGATTGCAGCTTGTGTCAAGGACAGTTTTGTCCGCCGCTTGCGCTAAACTCCTCCAAGTGAACATGCGGGGAGGGGGGTTGGAGGTGTGTCTCTGGAGGAGAGCGGAGGCTTCAGTATGGAGGAGGTGTGGCCAAACAGAAGTTTGTTTTGGTTTAATGCTGGTGCTCAAGGGCGACATATACTGGATCAAAACGTTGCACATTCTTCCTTTAAATAGGAAAACTACAACATTTTTTTGACATATCAACTCCACTATCGACTGAATTGTTTTATTAATTAATGAGCATTTCCTTTGAAATTTGAACATCTGTCTTGAGATCCGTTCAAGGCGAGCTCAGAGCAGCGAGCTCTGTGAGAAAAAGTTTTAATTTAAAAGTCAGTTAAGATTCTTTAACTGACCATGAAGCAATCTGATGCTCCATAAAGTTTTACGTTTAAATAAAACGTTTTCGTGCCCTCTCTCTAAATGTTTCCCTTCGTCTTGATGCTTTTGATGTCTTGTGTGAAACACTTTGAATGGCCTCGTTGTTGAAATGTTCTCTTCACATAAATTCACCCACTACAATAAGTGTCAGGAGAGAGACTGTCAGGTGGGAGTATTCGTTATGAGCATATTTTTTGGACAGCGGACTGACAGACTTTGAGCAGAAGAAAGAAACGTACCTGCAGTTTGGCGGAGGGTCCAGTGTGATATCAGCCAGCTCTTTCTGAATCCTGCACACAAAAAGGACAAAAAAAAAAGGTTAATTGGGCAATATGTTAAAAAAAACGATTCAACCATTGGAAAATTCAAAAACTTTAAAAGGACGACCTTACTGTCATCTGTTTCTGAACCTTTTTGTATTTTAATGTAATGTAAGTCATATTTAAACCAGGTCTGTCAGCATTCACTCGTTTCTTCAATCGCAATGAATCACACACTATTTTGTCCCTTCAGGCTCACCGTAGATTGTCGTCCTCAGTGTCTCCATGTAGTCTCAGTGATGTAGAAGAAGGACACTAATGCATCTTTGAATGTCTCATTTCCCTTTAACAAACTCTCAGACAGCTCTGCTGACGAGTCCAAAAATAATATCCACCTTATGACATCACACATTGACCTTTGTTACCCTTCCTTCGAGCTGTTTGACTTTATTTTGGGATCCCTCACCTCTTCCTGTACTTAAGTCACACCTTTGATCTACCAGAAGGTCCTTACTTTATTTCTACATCAGTACCATCATCTTTCAGTCCTTAAAAAGCCTAAAATAACCTTCTTTATTATAGTAACTTCTGGTGTTACATTATTTGTCACGATCATACATAAACTAAAAAAAAAGAAACGTTTTCATGGCACCTGTTGCACACTTTCGACACACTGAATTTCAACTTCTTCTCTGAATCAGCCGAGTGTGTTAGCTTCTGCTGTCTGTGTCAAACCACAAAAAACCAACAATATTCGGGAAGCACAGAATCGGTGCAACACAGTGAATTAAAACGTCTGCTACATCTGCCTCAAGGGGCGAAGGCATCAAACACAGGTCGAAGGAAAATTAATAGCTGCCCTCGTCTCCTCACTTTTAGCACTTAGAGAGAAACGGATGTAACAATTTTATTCTCTTTAATTAATACAAAGAGAGTGAAAAGTTTTGTTTTGTCTTCAGGGGAGAAAGAGGAAGCTTGGAGAGGATTGTGTGACTACAAGCTACCGTCTGAAGAGAAGTAAACATGAGTTCCTCTTTGAGAACACAGCAGAGTGGAGGGGGAGTCTCTGATGTTTTTTGGGAGTGAGTACCAGAGGGTGGGAGCGGCATTGGAGAAGGCTCTGTCCCCAGAGGTCCAACAGGGGCGGGACAGGAGGTTAGTGTCAGCAGACCTGAGAGTGCAGGTGGAGAAGCTCAGACAGGTAGAGGGGAGGAGCCAGGTTATGGAGGGCTTTATAGGTGGTGATGATGATGAGGAGTTTGAAGTGGATACACTAGAGGATGAGGAGCCAGTGGAGGTTATGAAGGACGGGGGTGATGTGGCCACGGGTCGGGGAGTGTGTGAGAAAACGAGCACCAGAGTTCTGGATCTTGTCAGTATGAATGAAATCAGGGGCCTGTTGCAGCAGCTATGTATAAGTTAAGTTTCCCGCTAAACGCTACGTTGAAACTAGTAAGGTCTGAACCTCAGGGCGCACTCACACTACGCCCAGTTGATCCATACGGAGCCCAAGAACGATTGTCTCCTCCCCACAGTCTCTCGGACACTAATCATGAGGGTGGCGGTTATAAGTCATGTCCGTGCCGCACCTACTTGCCTATTCCAACCCTGCCAGGGCCAACAAAGTGTACCAGGGTTGAGCACGGTACGGAGCGCTTACACAAGTCAAACAAACTGGACTCTGGGGGTCAAACGGGCTTGGGGTTGCCTAGGATGTGTCACTGTTTGGCTGCCGAGAGATGTTAGGTTCATCTTAACTTGTAGAGCGAAACGTCCTAAATATCTCACAAATTATGTTTTCACCGCCTGCGGCCAATCATTGAAAAACATTGCCTCTCGTGTCTTATTGTCTCTACTGCCGTTAATAGACAAACAGCGATGGGGTGCTGATGGCCTAGCGGTTAGGTTGCACCCCCAAGTACAGAGACTGTAGTCCTCCAAGTGGGCGGCCCAGGTTCAAGTGCGACCCACTGCTCATTTCCTGCACGTCATTCCTCACTCTCATTCCTACTCTATCAACTGTACTATCTGAATAAATTACTGTAAGACGTATCCTTGGGTATATCAGGGCTGATTATTCAGTAAACAGTCTGCGGATTTAGTTTCACCTTTTGGCGCTGGTAGAAAGCAGCTTGGAGGTCTTGCTCATGCTGACTTTGCTCTCCCGTTTCTTCTTGCAAAGAGAGTCCCTCTGTCTGGCTTGGCTGGAGGAAGGCGGCGATGAGGAAGAGCTGGTGCTGGCACGCGAATCCTCATCCGACATACCGGTTTGGATTGGAGAAGAGCCGGGACCTGAGGCGGAAAGCAAAGAGTCACACCACAGCTGAGAGGCGGGGCTGTTTGGGAATCATTCCTAACAGACGCCAACTCGGCCTCCAAGTGGCCGCCAAAGCTGATAGGTGTCATAATTCCTAAACAACCTTTCACTATTTATAAACAATCATTGACTCACCACTGAAACACGATGACAAACTTCCTACTTATATATTAAACCTGAATTGTTCTTTTGATAAACATCTAAGAAGTAGTCAAACATTGTGGTGTACAAGCAAACAGAACCTATTAAAGAGTAGAAGAAACAGAGAAGAAGAATAAAAACATTTTATGCTAAGTATGAGGTTTAAAGTTATAAATGAATTACCGGTTTGTCAAATGAGATAAGAGTTCTTATTGTAAATAGAAGGATGTAAATTACGTGATTAAGTTTCAAAATTGTGATTTTAATTTTATGTTGTTTTTTAATTCACAAACAGGTAGTTTTTGTAATTTTTCATACAGATGTTGACATCGTGCAGCTGTTCATAAAAGTGTCTGTGTGACATGTGGATTTGACATAACTGACTTTGTTTCTTGTTATTTCTGTACAAAAAATCATCATTAGGACTTCTCCTACTCATAATATCTTCTTTTTACTTCATAATTATCTGAAAAATTACTCTTTAAACCATAAATAAGTCTTAAATTGTGATTTTTTTTTATTATTTTATGTTTTTCCCCTTTTACCTGCGGATGGAGACTTCTATAACAGTTAATATTAAAAAACAAACAAACAAACAAACAAAAAACAGGTAAGAAATAATCACAAATTGTGGTAATATGTTCAACTGATTGTGTGAGCGCAGTTAACGCAGGAAAAGTCGTGATTTTCTGCGCTACGTTTTTGTTTTTTTTTTTTTTTTAGCTAAAGTTTACGTGACGGTTGACGCACTGTCTTTTAGCGCACGAGCTAGCCGAGTTCCCACGGAAACGTAATGAAGTTAACCGTTCATCAACTGTAAACCGAAGCTAGCATCTTACGTCGTCATTAAATGATAATAAATGAAGCTGTTAGTGTCGTTATTAATGGTGATCTCCGCCCTTTAATACGTAAAGATAGAGCTACCTGCGACCACCACCAACAACACCACCACCACCACCACACCTCCTCAACTCCAACTGGCACCGACACCCAGGCCCGAAGACTTCAGGGATCAGACTAATTCTTGGACCGGCGTGAGGTGAAGCTGCTCGCTAAGCATCCTTTATAAGTGAAACCCCGAAAAGCCAGTCACCGTAACTAACAGAACAAACATCCTTAGTCGTGGTCGTTGTACACAACCTCACGACTATGTTAGATTAAAACAGAGCGTTCAGAGACGTGTTTTTTTTAACACTAAACGTGACATCGATTCGTTTAAAAGACAAGCAGTCGATAACCACTCCGATCCAGCACGTAGCCGGAGCCCATTTTTCGTGCGACCTACTAAACCACGAACCGTGTTGTTTGTTTGTCTTTTCTGCGTGTGAAGCGACAAAACAGACCTTCAACTTCATCTGGAAACACACGCAGGCATCTGACCTACTCGTATACTCACACCACTGGGGGAAATATCGGCGTTAAATAACCCATTTAGGTCAGTAATTAAACTTACCCAGTCTATTGTGTCTGGACCTCCGCCACAGTCTTGGCTGGCTGCTGCCTGTCGCCCTCTGCGGAACGGAAGTAGCCTACCGCGGCTGCAGTGGGCTGTGCGGCACCGGTCCTACTCTGGAAACACGACCGCCTACATCAAGTGAGTTTAACAGACACAAAGTTACCAAAATGTGTATTTATTTTTGAGTCGTTTATCATCACCACTTGTAATTCAACGTCGTATTGTTCGTAAAAAATGCGATTCTTGACTTATAATGTTTCAACAGGAGGAACTTTGAATCATGAGATTTCCTCAAGTATTTCATCTGCTAATTAACTTGATTAAATGCTTACTAAAAATCTGTACTTGGTTTTAACAACGTAGATAGATAGAGGCTTTATTCAAATATACAAAACACAAACATGACATTAAACATGTATTACATTTAACAACACCTGCTGCACCCCCTTTGCATTAAAATGTAAAAGAAACCCCACAGAGATAAAATTAAACCTTACAATTAAAATTAAATTAAACCTGCATGATTAAAAATTAGACACATAGACCAAGACTATGTAAATCAACCTGTGCAGGAGTAAGAACAAATTTATATATATAGCTACAATTTAAATCACATATTAAAATTAGACCTGTTAACCTGTTCACAGACGTCTGTATACACATGTGCACTCACACATTTCTCCCAAATATAACTTTACTAATTAAATCGTAACTTGGATCAAAGGCTGACAAAGAAAGGACGGATTAATCACAATATGCATTTATTACAGTAAACATCTGAAGAAACTACAGATGTGAAGAGGGTCAATCAGTAACATGAACAGATGGCTTATTTATTCAGTTCATATCATGTTTGTGTGTTTTTAAGCCGCTACTGGTTGTTTTGAATTTCAATTAAGTATCCATACATCCATCCGACCTTCTGTCCGTCCATCCATCCACCCACCTATTCATCTATCCATCCATCTGTCCATCTATCCATCAATCCATCCGGCCTTCTATCCATCCATCACCCATCCAGCCGTCAGTCAGTCCATCCACCCACCTATTCATCCATCCATCCATCCATCTATCCATCCATCTGTCCATCTATCCATCAATCCATCCGGCCTTCTATCCATCCATCACCCATCCATCCGTCAGTCAGTCCGTCCACCCACCCATCCATCCATCCATCCGTCTGTCCATCCGTCTATCCATCCAACCATCACCCATCCATCCGTCAGTCAGTCAGTTCGTCCACCCATCCATCCATCCATCCATCCATCATCAACCGTTTATCCATCCATCTGTCCATCATATAGGTAGCAGAGATATTTATCTGTGTTACATGATCCGGACAGTTTTCTAGGTGAGGCTCTACATTTGACAAACAACCATAAACTTCAATAATATATGAAGTGCTGATCAACATCAAAATCATGCCACAAATGCTCTCAAAGAAAAGAATTTATGAAGTGTGACGTGCTGTTTACTTTATTCAGGAGGTCATTACTGTAATGCTTACTTCAGCAATGACTAAACTGCTGCTTCACTCGCCACAGAAACTGAAAAACAACTCAAATGAATCACATCTGTGTTCACATCCAAGAATATTATGACTGATATTATCAAAGGTTGAGCCAGTGGGAAAAAATGAATTGCATGCAGCATATTTTCAGAGTTTAAAAGGGCCCAGTGTGGATGTTGGTGTTATTTAAAGGACACCCATCGTGTGTAGTTACAATCTTCTTTTTTGGACTGTTTCCCGCGCAATGACTAATAAATGACACATTTGTAGGTGGAGATAGTGCCTTCTTGCAGGTCAATGAGCTGTGAAGTACACTATGTACCTTCACCTGGTGGAGGATGTGTGAGTGTTTGAAAGGTTAATTGGGTAATCTTGTCACATTGTGAACACTGTTGTGTCAATATTTTAACAGTAACGTGCTCACCTTTGACCCCTTTTAAGTCCTGCTTTATACATAAAGGCTGGCTCCAAGAACACCGGTCGTCGCATACACACCACAACCAACCAAGCTGTTTTTACAGCATAAATAAAAATGTTTACAGCCTGGTACAAAAAACAAAATAGGTCTGATTAGTTATTGTCATCACTGCTACACACTGTACGGTGGGGTTATCATCTTGATTAACTACCTAATACTGACAGCCCTGATTTTCAAACAAGATGTCAGGGCACAGTTAGTGTTAATAGATTTATCCTTACATTTTGTTATTTCAGCGCGCACTGATTCAGGTATGGAGGCTTTTTATTCACCTTGCTGTGCAGCCTGTAGACTTCTGTTTTGCAGGATATAACTGCCATCCTTTTTTATCCATGCACAACAACAACCAATCAAAACTTACCTTATAACAGCTTTGTGTTTTTCTTTTTCTTCTCGGGTCCAAACTGGAAGGTAAAATCTGTAAAAATAGAAAAGAGAGAGAGCGAGAGCAGAGAGGTCTGATTGAAGAGCCGACTCGGTGCTCTCCTTAAAAGCTTTCGCTGAATGACTAATTTATGAAGCCAAAATCGCACACTGCTAATACATGTCGTGTGCATTGATTTGAGTATGAATCAGTGTAACAACCAGAGCTTTTTAAAAGCAGCTCCATTATCTCTGTTCTGAATACTTTTGATATCGCATTAACAAAGATCACCTTCTCTGTACTCAAACCTAAATTCTTCTTCAAGGACTTATGGAGCACTGAAAATCCTCGATTCTCTCTAAAGACATGAACGAATTTCCAGAGCGCTGATTCAGTCAAAACTGACTTTAACCGGTTTGGAAGAAAACCACAAAGTAAAGCTGATGTGGTATGTGTGAGTTGGGAGATATTTTTTAGGTGTAAATAATGTGGAACAAAACAACAGTACATGTAAATAATTTACATATATATTTATCTTTATGTATTATTAGGATCTTCTTCTTCCTCTCGTTATCAGGGCGTCAGTAGATCAGTCTGTAGGGACTTGAGTTGGGAACCGGTTTAAGTCCTGGTGCGGACCAAATCTGGAGGTTGGTCTGGTAGCTGGAGAGGGGCCAGTTCACTTTCTAAGCACTGCCGAGGTGCGCTTGAGTAAGGCACCTTGCTCAAGGGCATTCAGGCATCTGAATTTAAGACACATCCAAGAAACAAGTCCCAAGACACAAATCTTAAAGTTCAGATATTACATGGAAAAAATAAGGCCAGCATTTTTTTTGTTGACTTAGCTTTCATAAAATCAGGTTTTGGTTTTTCTTCAAGAAGCTTTTATTTTTGTTTCTTGCTCCATTAGCAACTATCTACCTAAGCTCATTAACCGCAATTAGTCGCCTCTTGTAAAGCACCGTCACAGTTTGCTCTGCCATTACCTGTAAAAACTCTGTCAACTATCTGCGAGAATCAAACACTCAGGTTAGCAGGCCGAGATTATTCAGGACCCCTCATATGCTCTCCTCCCAGCATTTGAGTGACTCCCCTCAGGATGCTGACCTCGCTGATCCGGCTGCAGGACACAAAGGAGAAGAGCAACCTTTGTCTCCAGGGCTGTCCAGCTACCCAACTCCTCCCGTCATATCCTGCACACCTCACACCCTCAAGAGGTCATAATAAAAGCTTCAAGTCACAACAGGAGACTCACTGAAATAAAGCAGGTTATTATTTTAATTGAGCTGAAATAAGCGGCTGTACAGCTTTGTGAACATGAACGAGTGTGAGACATGAGAGCCGGTGAGAGCTGGAGTGATAACGCAGGATCACTGAATGGGTGTAAATATTTGTGTGGCTGTTGTGAATATTTGTGAGAGTGCAGTCGGACACAAAAATCCCAGACAGAGCGTTTTTTTTTTTTTTTTTTCTCACAAGCCGACCACAGTGTGTTTTTATTGGGTGCTTCAGTAATACAAGTGCACAACAAACCACTCTGCAATTGCAGAGGTGGCGGGTAGCCAGTAAATATACAAGTCCTGCCTCTTTCACGGGCAGACCTATACTTTTGTGGTCTGCCTCAAAAGCCTTTGAAAAAATACATACAGTACAAACAAAATCAGAGGAGGTGAAAAAAGCATGAAGGATTCATTGACGCAAACCTTCCCGTTACATGCAGATAACATGTCGATGACAAATACAAGATAAAAAAAAAACGAAGAGCAAAACTAAAGAAAATCATCTGCATGTTTGTTCCAGGTGCTGCTAAGAAAATGAAGAATACATACTGTGTAGCCAGAGGACGATGCGTATGATCGTTATTATATTCTGTGTTTTTTTCTCCAATACAATACTTCCAACATTCAGATATTGGAAAATAAAAATCCCAATCTACTCTTTGTATAAAAAAGAAGCTTTCAAGTCAACAAGGAACAAAGGACTTTTTTTTTTTTTTTTTTTTAAGTTTAAGGTTGTTTTTTTTTAACACAGAAAAGGTAGATAAAATGAGGGAGAGAGGGAGGAGTCTGAGGAGGAGAGGAGGGCGGGTTTACCGTTGCACTTAGTGAGTGTGCTTTGACAGACTAATAAGGGTGAGAGCGAGAGGTAGAGAGAGGTGCAGTGAGGAGGACGAGGAGGAGGAGGGAGGTAAAGGAGAGCGGGAGGGGAGGGGGGGGGAGTCTATGTGGCGTATCTCTTCGTCCATTGTTTGGCTATTCTGTCATGCTCTGTTCTGTTGGTCAGGTACTGTGTGGCGATGCTTCCCACCAGAGGGTCGGCTGAAAGAGAAGAAAGACAGGAGGGGAAACATGTGAGAAGACGCGTGAAATCACTCAAACTGTGCAAAAACAGAGACTCATGGAAAGATTGCATGTGTCCTGCCATGATTATGTAAAAATTTGTGTAGGGGAAGAAGTGTTACTTTGGAACACATGACATTTATTCTCAATGCCCGAGCGACAAAATGTTACAAACTGTCGGACACTCTTAAGAGGACAGGTACGATTACAAATATGAAGCTTTCTTCAGCTGTTATAATACAAACAGCCATCCATTTTCCATATCGCTTGTCCCTTTCTGGGTCGCGGGGGCCTGGAGCTGATCCCAGCTGTCATTGGGCGAGAGGCGGGGTTACACCCTGGACTGTTAGCCAGTTAATCACATGGCTGACATACAGAGACAGACAACCAGCCACACTCACATTCACACCT